CCGATCAACGATCCGCTGGGTTGAACTCTTACACAATCCATCTTGCCATAGCCACTTAAACCTCTTCTTTCTTCCACCTATCGCCTTTGCCGGCATGCCTTTTCCACCGTCGCTACCGCAATCTTTCTCCTCCGGTATGCCCCTTTGTATGTATGAGTCATGCTTCTTATCTCTCTGGCATATTGGCTCCTGCGACCATTGTTGGTCTTGTAGACGAAGGTGAATCTTATTTGAATGTAAACGACGACTTGAATGATCAGCCTTGCGATAGAGAAATTGGGAGTCTGATGAAGGATCTAAAAACTTGTCCTCATCTTCACCATTCATCTCATTTCTATCAACCAATTCCTCATCTTCATCCTCATTATCTTCTGATTCTGTCTCCAGCAATTCAGCCACTTCAATCAGATCATTATAATCTTTTTCTTCACTTTTCTCATCAACAAGTCTATTCAGATTCATCTCATCAAATTGTTCATTCTGATGATGTATTCGTCCACCTTCTCCTTGGCCCATCCGTTTCTCAATAGACATCTTATTTGGTATGCTAGCCATCATCCCAGCCAACCAAGCTTCAACAACGTCGGCTTCCGCTGCCAGTTGGCCAAGCCGAGTTAGAACACAAAGATGGCGACGTTGGTCCATTGCAGAGCTGGCCAGGTTGTTTGCCGCCCCTGCTAGTTGGCGCCAAGCCATTTCCAGATCTATTAGGTCTTGTTTGGCACGCCGAGCGGCGACTTTGTGAAGACCAGCATCCAAGCGGCGACAGGCTAGGGCCAGCCATTGGTCTACTGGGCTGAAATCGGAGGGATCCGGAGCCTCGCAATCAGCTGGAGGAGTTTGGCCTGTCGTATATGCGTGGAAATCTCGGAGAGACAGTTCGTTAAGCCGGTTGAAAATGGCTAAAAGCCGCAAATAAAGACGATCTATGGCAATAGAACGATCAGTAGGAGGGATAGAAGATAGAGATAGTTCTTCTTTGCAGACTGAATTTACTCTTATTTCTGTAAATAAACGAACAAACAGAGATTTAGTGGAAGATTTAGAGTCTTTTGCATGGGATTTTATAAAAAAGATACAGCAGTATATGCTACGAAATATCCTTACTGAGTAGAGATTGGATGAGTTGGATAAATAGTGAATAATGATGAGCAAGGCTGAAGTTAATTAAGAACCATAATACTGAAAGCCCTGAATAACATGCAAAACTTGGTATGATTCAAGTTTATTAATGACAGATAGCTTAGTATAGATAGTTTAAAGAGCTTATTTTTGTTATCACATATTGCTGAAAAAATCCATTCAATCATTTAAAGCACCCTATTTGCTATAATTGGAAAATGGTTTTGAATACAAGAATATCTACTTTTGTCCAGCCAAAATCAATACATGTTGTCCCTAGAACGCCTACAAATAGTATATACGCTAAAAACATACGTCTACTACTCAATATAGGAGTTATATACTTAAAATATATTTCAGATACAAAGTCTTTAAAAAGGCATCTAACGGAATTCAATAGTATTTCATCTATTTATAATAGTTCGACGTTTCCCATAAAAATAAGATTTGCACAAAGCATACTCTTACTCGTCCTCACATTTTTGCA